GGGGCGCCCGAGACACGTGCTCAGCCGAGCTACGGGGCGCCGCAGTGGCCATTCCCCGCCGGTGCCGCCGGTGCTCCCGCCATGCCGCGGTACGCGCAGCTGGTGATGGGCCCGGCGGGCAGCGGGAAGGTGAGCGGGAAGCGGCGGGGGGACAGCGGGCGGGGGGAGGCCTCGAGCAGCCCCTGATGGGCGTGTGTGCCTTGCAGAGCACGTACTGCTCCACCATGGTGCAGCACTGCGAGGCGCTGGGCCGCGCCGTGCAGGTGGTGAACCTGGACCCGGCGGCCGAGCTGTTCAGCTACCCCGTGATGGCAGGTGAGCGCCGGGGAGCCCGTTACAAACATCAAAATAGCGTCTGGTTCCTGTGTTAGTGAATTATGCCCGGTCTTGTACCCGATAGTGCTCAGCACTTATGTCGGAAATTAATGTAGTCTTGTAATGGTGCTGACTCCCCACGTCGGTGACTGATGGTCTTGTGCCAGCTGGTTTTTAATCCCTGTATTTACCTGGGCCAGTGATTAATATCTACCTGCATATGTCATAGTTTTGAGAACAAAGTGTGTCTAAACAAAGATGATAAGAAAAGTACATCTTGACCTGACCTCATAGCTGGGATACCTTGAAGGAGAAGAGATTCATTAGCGGATCCGGGACCATGAAAGGAAAATTTGGGGAATGGGATATTCCCCAAACGACCACCAGGGACCCTCAAAAGACTCCCACTCATGTCCAGATCGGTCCATGGAAATATTTAGCATATATGTGTGTATTCAGGAAATGTAACGAATATGTATCAGTTCATGAATAGAGATCCCCGTGCACCCAGTGCTGCAGTGAAGGAATGTTGGCTCTCTGACCTCCCAGACTGTTTGGAGGGTTTATTCTTGGTGTTTGGTGTTGTCACAGACATCCGTGAGCTGATAGAGGTGGACGATGTGATGGAGGATGAATCCCTGAGGTTTGGCCCCAATGGAGGTTTGGTGTTCTGCATGGAGTACTTTGCCAACAACTTTAACTGGCTGGAGGAGAGCCTGGGGCACGTGGAGGATGATTATATATTGTTTGACTGCCCAGGTAAACGCACGTCAATGTTTTGGTATCATTTGGTATTTTATATCACAGTATAAAATTTGCAGTGCTTTGGTTTAGTTGGTTGTGATAATTCACGTTTTTTTGCATTATTAACAATTGTCAGAGTCACTTTCAGATGTTTCAGGAGTGAACTTGGTCCTGGGCTGCTCTGGGTGACTGCACTGGTGTTTGGTATCAACATGTGGTGTGGGGACGCTGTGGCAACTGCAAATAACACTTAATTGGAGGTCAAGGGAGGGAAAATACCCCTTTTCTTTCTTTTCCACTTCACCAGTCAGAGTTGCCTAGAAGAGGATGCTTTTCTTACCAGTTTTTATTTATATTAAGTGTAATTCCATGTTTATGTATATAACTGCAAAACATTCCTGTTTGCTTCCCATTCCTACCCATTGATATCCTGAGTGTGCCCCAGGTCAGATCGAGCTCTACACACACCTGCCAGTGATGAAACAGCTGGTGGAGCAGCTCCAGCAGTGGGAATTCCGTGTCTGTGGAGTCTTCCTTGTGGATTCTCAGTTTATGGTGGAATCTTTTAAGGTACCCATTTGAAAGCTGTTGGAAAAGTTCTTATTGACAAAGAACAAAAAGTCTGGGCCGTTCAGGGAGCTGGGTTTGCCTGGAGGAGAAAATGCTAAGCCCAGGGAGATTTGTCTTTATCTGCCTCAGACATGAGTTGCAGCAAAGGGTGTCCCAGTTGAATGTAAAGAAAACCAGCACTGGGAGAGTGGTCAGACTGGAGCAGGCACAGAGGTTGTGCAGTGAATGTTCATAGACTCAAAACTTGACTGGGCAGCCTGGTCTGACTTAGCAGCTGCTCTGTTTGAGCATTTGGAGGACCCAGATAATCTCCAGAAGTCGCTTCCAATATAAATTCTTGGAATCTCAGGTGATTCCATGAGAGCTTTGTCAGAACTGGAGAGTGAGCAGGCCACTTCCCCATTTATCAGGAACAATCCTGAGAAGGGTTTGGGTTTTCTTAATGCCCTTTCCAGTGGCAGATCCAGATCTGAGGCTCCAAAAATAGATGGGATACTTTGCACCTCCCTTTTCCAACAGGAAGCTCCTCATATCCCAACTCCTCATAAGGCTTTGTGTCCATGTTCCATATATTCATTACTAGATTTGGTCTGGGGTTGAGTGTCCTGCGTGTTGGGTTTGTGTTTTTCTCTACTTTAATACATCATTTTTCATTCTCTTTTCAGTTTATCTCTGGAATTCTCGCAGCACTCAGTGCAATGATATCTTTAGAGATTCCACAGATTAACATCATGACCAAAATGGATTTGCTGAGCAAGAAAGCCAAGAAGGAAATAGAAAAGTAAGTTCCAAAAAATTATTTACTCTGTAGTGTGATATATTGAGGCAAAGTTCACTCAAAATTCAATCTAATGTTTCCCACAATTTAAACATCCTCTTTTGGAATGGGACAAGATGGATTTGGTTTATATTAAACATAGTCTTTAAACAGCTGAATAGGATGCTTACAGTTTAGTCAGAGTCAAAAGAACAGCTCCATGTTTGTACTGATCTCTGGTTTTTTTTCTGTAAGTAATCATCTTGGATCTCTTGTGTCATTCTAAATGACAGACTTTCAGTGTTAATGATGACTTTGTTTCTCCCAGGTACTTAGATCCAGACATGTATTCTATGATTGAAGATTCTACAAATATATTCAAAAGCAAAAGGTTTAAAAAGCTGACTAAATCTATATGTGGATTGGTAGGTATATTGCTTTTGAACTGGTATCCTTAAATTCAATATCACTTTTTGCCTCTTTTAACTCTCTTTATTTTTTCAGATTAGCATAAGATTCTTGATATTTGGATTGTAGCCAATACATTTTCTGTGAATCCTTTGGGAAATGGCTTTTTCTATTGCGTAGAACTCTCTGAGTGGGGAATTGCCACTGTTTTGCAGCGTGGCTTTAAGTGGTATTTTAGCAGTGAAAACAAATGTGGTTTAAGGAGGTGGCTTAGAGTGCTGTGACTGAGAGTTAACTTACTGCATTTTCTTTTGACTCCTCCCTCCAGATTGATGACTATGGAATGGTTCGATTTCTGCCTTTCGATCGCTCTGACGAGGAAAGTATCAACATCGTTCTGCAGCACATAGACTTCACCATCCAGTATGGAGAGGATCTGGAATTTAAAGAGCCAAAGGTAAGGTGCTTCTGGTGAGGAGATGAAAAAATTAAAAAAGATCCACAATATAAATATATTCTTTGCCCTGCTGATAAGTTATTTTCTCAGTACGGTTCAAAGCAGGCCATCTTTAGTCTGTTGGTGACAATGCCTGTATCATCTTCCTTTACAGTTAAAAAAGTGGAATTCTTTAATAGCATCTTGCATATGCAGATTGATCAAAGGGTTGTGTTTAAAAGTAATGCTTTTGGTTTTCAAAATCAACAGAATTTTAACCTTCAAATGTCAGAAAGGACCACTGAGATCAGTAAGATTTTTTTCCTGCCTGACTGTTCAAACTGCCATGATAATTCCTGTGTTCAACCCACGTCTTGTATATGAGATAGAGATTAGAAATAAATTCTATTGTGTAAAATACATCATAGAAGACTGTGTTAAAATCTGTTCCAAGCCCTCTCTAGTTTTATTATTCAGCTCATAAAACCTAAGGAACAAGTTTAGCGCTTTTATTCCCCTTTTAAATTCATTTTTTTACTCTTCTGTACTGCAGAATACTTGGATCTAGATTTTGGCCTATATATAAAGTTTGTATTTTTCTGTTTTCTCTTTGGCAGGAATATGAAGAAGATAAATCTGCTCTTGTGGATGAATACTTTCAGGATCGTGTGGATGAGTAAAAAAAAAATATGTTCAAACTGGGAGGAAAATACTTTGTGGCAAAATATAAAAATGAAAAAAAAACCCAACCCCTACACAAACACACTTAATGTTTTACCTGTAAGATAACTAATATTTATAGTAAAGAGTGAGTTATATGACCTCAAAACTATTTTAATAAACAGTTTTTTATTCTTGTGTGTGTATGGGTTATAAAATATATAGGCCAGTGTTAGCACATATAAAAGTTCCCCTCATATAGATATATTTCAGCATAGCAATGCTTGAAACAAATTAATGATTTGCCAGATAGGCAAAGCTGAGTCTAAATATGTTGTAACAAATATTTATCTCCAGCACTGAGTAGTTAGTTTCATTACTAGATGAGAGAAAGAATTGTTCTAAAGGGTGAAAGTTGTATTTCATGAACTGAACGTAAATTAGAGAGGTGTAATTTTTTTCTTATTCAGGAGTAGGGTTGTTCTTATGTCTGTTTAAATAAAAGGTTCACTATTGATATGGTGCTTATTTTTGAAGTAAGGATCTGCTTTTTCCAAAGCACAACCAGAACTGGGAGAGAGGTTCAACAGAGCAGCAAATCCTGCATGTTTAGTGGAAAAGGGCTCCCAAAAATCCCTGTGTGGCAGAACTTGATCTGACTGAATTAAACCACTCAAACATTGGGGCAACTTGGGTCACAACTCACCTCCAGACTGGCACATCCTTGGGACAAGTCACACTCGTGGTGTGTTGAAAGGGCAAAGCCCAGCCCTGCAGTTGGATTACTTTGACTCACCTTCCAAACCTCCCCATTTTTTCTCCCTGACTCATGTCATGAATCATTTACCAGGGGACAAATTCAGCATGCTGGCTCATAGGGAAGGTTATGGCTTGATAGTATAGGAGTGTGCACCAGAATGTATTGTATCCCTCTGACACAAAGTATTTGGGCCCGTTTTGTCCTTCCTTACACCGGGGCAACTGAGTGCCCCGTCAGCCGGCTGCCTGTGCACCAGGTCAGAGCAAGTGACCTCCAGGAGCTCTGGAAATGCGCAGGAGAGAAAACCAGCTACGAGTGAAGCATCCCCAATGTGCTCTTCTGATGCTGACCTCGACGAGACTGGAGCTCACCTCTCAGATGTCAGCGTGGCTGGAAAAGGGTGGCACGGAGTGACCGAGGAGGGGTTACTTGCAGTGCTGGCCACAGCAAAGGCAGACAGAGGAGGGAAACCCCAAAGGATGGAAAAAAGCAAAGAAGTCCCCATCAGAGCGTGCTTTCAAAGGCCCTTCCCAGTGCGGGCAGCGCCCGGGTCGAGCAGTGCCTCCCGCGATCCCTTCCTGGTGCGGTGCCCCCAGGGCGGTGCAGGGCTCCGCTTCCGTGCTCGCACCGCCTCTGCCGCTGCCTCATTTCCTGCAGCGGAGGCGGACGGAGCGCTGTGTTCGCTTTCTTGGACGTCCGCCCGCTCCCCTCCCGCCCGGCCCCGCCGAGCCGCCTCCTGCCCTTCGAGATGCCGGTGAGCGGCGGGTGCGACGGCGGGCCGGGAAAGGGGCTCTGCGGCGGGGTCTGACCGGGGGGAAAGAGGGGCTGCAGCTGCGGGGAGCCCTGCGGAGAGCGGGGAAAGGCTCGTATGGGAGGCTGCTGCAAGGCCAGCGCCCTCTTCCTCCTCCTCCCTTTGGCAGGGATCCACCCGCAGCCGGGAGGAGAGGGTGGTCAGAGGAATACTTTGCCTTTGTTCGCACCACCTTTCCCTGGGTCGAATAAACTGCTTTTTACACCCACCCTCCCCCAGTCACATCTTCCTCTGCCCCCCACAAAACCTGGGCTGGGAGGAGGTGAAGGATTCATAGTGGGATGGCACAGCACGGTGGGAACATTGGGAAGTGCCCCAAAATAACCTTACCAGTTTTTAGAAATCGGTTTTCCAGGAAGAATCTGTCATATGCAGAAAGCTTTTTCTTTTATTTTTTTTTAACTTAAACTAGTTTTAGAGTGCACAGAAAGGCCTTTATTTTTGAGCATGCTAAGCCTGGCTTTATTTATAATTATCTACTATTATTAGCTAGACATGGAAATAAGATATATAATTTTAAAAGACCAACTAATTTTCAGTGAACTACACAGGGCCCCCAGGATGGGGTCAGGGAGCCGGGGGGATGAACTGTGCCTGCAGATCAGCCATATGGATTTTATCCTGTCTCCCACCACCATGACTTGAAGTGGTGCCAGTGATGATGCTCTCCTGGCATTGACCAGAATGGCACCAAGTTCTGGGCCTTATTAGAAAACAGTGTTTGTGCAAGGAAAAATTGCTGGGAGCACCATAATGAACTAGACTGTGACTCCTGTTTGTGGAGACACATGGGATGTGATTGGACACAGAAATGTCTATTTTCAGTAGAATCAATAACCAGCTTTCCCCTGTTCTAGGCTTACCACTCCACGTTAATGGACTCGGACACCAAGCTAGTTGGGAACATGGCATTGTTACCCATCAGAAGCCAGTTCAAGGGCCCAGCACCTCGTGAAAGTAAGTTTATAATAATGTCTGAAAACCTGCCGGGATGTAGCTCCTCATCTCGTGGGTTGCTCCAAGAGCAAGAGTGACAAGAGGAGTCAGTGGTGGGAAATGGAGAGGTTTGCAGTTTGTAGAGGAGGAAAGAAGTTCTCAAATAGTTAAGTTGTGCAAGTTGAGGTTTTTGGGGAGGATGTGATGGTGTGAACCCTCCGTGTCAGAGGAAGTGGGGGTTCAGCTACAGAGAGCTCGCTCTGGTCTGTGGCTGGGGACACTCGGCTGCTCCCGAGGCCAAGGAGCAGGACAGGCAGCACTTCAGGGTTGGGAGCTGCAAAAATTGATCCTTTTATGCTCTTAAAACTCTGATGAGTTACTCAACTGGTAGAAAAATGAGGAACTGCTGAATTGCTGCTGTTTGTGAAGTGAGATAGCACAAGGGAAAGAGAATAAGGAAGTTGAAGCTGCTAATATGAGTAGGAAGCTTAAATAATACAGTCTGAGCTCCTCAGTGTCTGAAATGTTCTCTGTTACATAGTGCTGACTTCTGCTTTTTGTATTGCCTTTGCAATAATGCTTATTTATATATTTCAGTGAGTAAAACTTATGACAACTGAGGTATAACAGTTCAATGTTTAACTCTGTATTTCTTTTTTGTTAGCTAAGGACACTGATATCATAGACGAAGCCATCTACTACTTCAAAGCTAATGTTTTCTTCAAAAATTATGAAATTAAGGTAATTTTTTTTAATATACTATGTATATAGTAGTTCTTTGGAAGGTTGGTGCTGTGAATATAAATTTATTTTCAAGGAAATAATTCTATTAGATCACAAAATCTCCCCTTCCACTTAATCGTTAAAGTTGGGTAGATGTCGTGAATTGCAAGTCCTTCTCTCATGGGGAAACTAAGTCAAAATGGCTTGAACTCATTCCTGTTTCAGACTTTTATCAGTTCCACAAAGTCTCCCTTAATCTAAGAGTGCCTGGGCTCTGTGCTTGCTCTTGTTGTGCAGAACGAGGCTGACAGAACACTGATCTACGTAACCCTCTACATTTCTGAGTGCCTGAAGAAGCTGCAAAAGGTAAGAAAAGTGAATTTCTGTGCAGGAGGGAAACAAAGTCTGTTCTGGGGATTGTACTCAGGAAAGGATTTCCTGATATTCTCCTCCCACTGGCACAGATAATCCTGTTCAGTCCCAGCTGTCAGAACGACAGATACTCTAAGGCTGTGGATACATTGTGCTGCTCTTCTTGATGAGTTTTTAAGTGTTACAGATTGGTAAAATATTTGGGTCTAATGCTCCCTCAGCTTTTGTTTACAACTGCTAATCCATTGTTTGCCTGGTTCTTCCAGTGTAACTCCAAAGGCCAAGGAGAGAAAGAAATGTACACACTAGGAATAACTAACTTCCCAATCCCTGGGGAGCCTGGCTTTCCGCTTAATGCCATTTACGCCAAACCTGCCAACAAGCAGGAGGAAGGTAAGGCTGATCCAGCACCTCTGAGGGCTTCCTTGGGCTCATACTTTATTAGCTGCATTTCTGTGACTGCAATTAGAAAAATTACCATTAAAACTGGATTTTCTAAATATGTGGTCTGTCTTCTGAAGGCAGCACAAGCTGGGTTTTCTGACTTCAAGGGCCCAGTGACTCCCCTGGATCCATGGATCCAACAGAACAAATTTATACGGTCTAAGAATACTTCTTGCATCAGATAATCACTAGTTAAACCCTAGTAATGGAGCCCAAGCCAGAATAGGAAGCCCACAATAATGAGCAAAGGTGACTGAGAGAAGAAAACAGTTTGGATGATCCTTTTTACTGGTAAAGATATAATAAAAATCCCAAATATTGCTATAAATTGAGCAAACCAACTCAGCCAGCTGGCATGCACCTGCAGATGTGAAACTCTCTCCTGAAGCAGTGCTATCTGATGCCTCCCTGTTAAACCAGTTTGACTTGGTGCTCCCCAGTTTACCCTGGTTTCCCTGTGCTGCTTTCAGAGGTGATGAGGGCCTACCTGCAGCAGCTGAGGCAAGAGACCGGCCTTCGCCTCTGTGAAAAAGTGTTTGATCCTCAAAGTGACAAGCCCAGCAAGGTGAGAGTTCAGAGGGACCATCAGGGAGCTCGTGAGGTTTGGGGTGTGTTTTCAGCAATGTGTGAATGGAGGTGAGGGTCAGGCGTGGCAACTTTGACCAAGCCTCACTGGGTTTGCAGTGAAACGGCAGCTGCAAATTATCAATAAATTTAATCTAATGTGACACGACAGTGAATGCCAATTTGGGTGACTTGAAAAGGCAGGCCAGTACTAAGGGGTGTCTGGTGCAACTCTTCAAAGTGCTGCATGTCTGCACTTGGCTGGGTTTGCAAATGGAAGTTCACAGGCACGAGAGATGCTGTTTCTCTTCCCAGGCAACTCTGATGTGAGAGCTGCTTTGAAGTAGATCGTTTGGCCTTATATCCAGATTAAAACAAAAAAGCTAATCAATGAGTGAATTGCCTCCTGACTGTTCACATGTTTCATGTGCAAATGTGACTGTGTCTAATATTGAAATTATTTAGGCTAATTTAGTTTCAAAGGCATAGCTTCCTGATGCATCTCTTGTTTATAATTATATTGGAATAAAATATAACAAAACTAAAATAAGAGAAATAAGAGAAAGTAGAATCTCCCACTTTAGCTCAAAGTCCTAAATTAATTCATTATGTCCATTCCTGTTGTTTTGTTCACCTAAATTCCAGTAGAAACCAGTGTGGAAAACTATGTGCAAAACTGAGGCCTTAACACTTCTTATGTGTCAGAGGTTGAATACTTTAAAGTCACTATTTTATCCATCACATGGGAAACACTTTTGCACATTTTCTGACTTTGTACTTCCTTTTGCAGTGGTGGATCTGCTTTGTGAAGAGGCAGTTCATGAACAAGAGTCTCTCAGGCCCTGGGCAGTGAAGAGGCAAAGTGGCAACAACCTTAAGTGTTTCCACAGCAAGATGTTCTCGTCTTTTGCCTTTGTTTTGGATGCATTTTGTACCACGGAAGAATTAACTGCTTATGAAGCAAAAAGAAAAAAACAAACCTGTCAATGAGGGGTGGATGGGGGGGGAAGCAAAAAGATAAGTTGTGTAAGCCAAAATTGTTAAGCTGGTGCTTAATAAGTCATTTTCTACACAATGTTTCAGATGCAGTCTACTTTGTTATTGTGGCTACAGCACCTAAAACAGGACTGGTATTTAAGAGAAGAAATGGATCTGCTGTGAGGCAAGGGAGCTCTGTCATTGCTCTGCTGGCTGGAGTCAGTGTCAGTGTCCAGGGCAAATAGACCTCTCATGCCGTGTTGTCCATGCAGTGATTTTTACATTGTATTCATTAAACTTTGCTTGTAATTAATGTAGTAACTACTGCGTGTCTCATGGACAATTTTCAGGGAAATCAGAGGTGGTTTTTTTGTGAAAGGACCTGCTCTGGTGAGCTCCCCCCTGCAGAGCTGCCTCCAGCCCTGGGGTCCCAGCACTGGAAGGACATGGAGCTGTTGGAGCAAGTCCAGAGGAGGCACCAAGGTGATCAGAGGACTGGAGCAGCTCTGCTGTGAGAAAAGGCTGAGAGAATTGGGATTGTTCAGCCTGGAGAAGAGAGCTCTGTGGTGACTTAACTGTGGCTCTTCAGTACCTGAAGGGAACTTATAGGAAAGATGGAGAGAGACTGTTTACAACGGCCTGGAGTAACAGGACAAGGGGGGATGGCTTCACACTGACAGCAGGTTTAGATTGGATATTAGGAAAAAATCCTTCCCTGTGAGAGTGGTGAGGCACTGGCACAGGTTGCCTTGAGAAGCTGTGGCTGCCCCATCCCTGCAAGTGTCCAAGGCCAGGTTGGATGGGGCTTGGAGCAACCTGGGCTAGTGGAAGGTGTCCCTGCCCATGGCAGGGGAGGTGGAACGAGATGATCTTCAAGGTCCCTTCCAACCGAAACCATTCTGATTTTATGATTATTGAGTAACGTTAATCAGTGGAAAGTGAATAATTCCTACTGAAAACAGTGGGATTAATGTAGGGGCTGTAGTTCCAGCAATTTACCTGTTTATTTAGCAGGTTTGTCTTCACAGAGCTGTGCTCCACTGTACTGAAGTGCCTGCAAATGGTACTGCAGGCAGATCCCACGCAGCTGGGTCTGTGGCTGCCTTCCTGGATTCAGACACACCCAAACTGGTAAAAAAATCGCTGTTCTGTCAGTCAGATGGTTTCTGGAAGAACACAAATCCAAGTTTGGTTTGTTCAGTTTTTTTTCCTCATGGCAGTACTTTTCTCACTGTCACCACACAGCACCAGCACACTTTTAGTGTTACCTGAAGCCCAGTGCTGGTGATGTTTTGCTGCCTGGCGTATTTGTTTGCTGAGAGCTGTACTCCTCTCCAAACAGCACTGATGGCAAGTCCAAACTAAAAGCTCTCACTGATTCCATTTTTAGGAATAGGATAGCCACGTTTCACATTCATTTTGTAATAAAGTGGGGAAAATAAACTTTATGATTCATCTGGCTGGCCTATGCCTTGTAAACGGTGGCTCTAGTGAGGCGTTTGGCCCAGAAGAAATGCAGGTTTTGAAGGACCTTTCTCCTCTCCAATTTTTACAGGCAGGAGCTTCATTATCTCGGGGACCTCGGTCACATTTGGCCGCAGCAGCCAGAAGAGAGTATTCTCAGGACAAGGGGTGGACTCTGGAGCAGGGGAGGCACAGGGAGTGTGTGCTTTCCATGGGAGACACAGAACCAAACAGGTGCGAGGGGATCTCCTCAGACCCGGTGTCCGAACCCCCTCACAACCCTCTCTCTCCCCTCACGCCGTTCCCGCTCCGCCTTCGCCGCGAGGGGTCCTTGGCACGGCGCGCGCTCCTCCCCGGGCTGCCCTCCCGCACGCCTGTCGGGCCGCGCGGGCAGCGCCGCGGGCGCCCGCAGGCGGCGGCGCGCGAGGACCCCTCGGTGGCGCCATTTTGGAGTGGCGGCGGCGGCGGCTCCGTGCCCGGTGCCCCGCTCGGTGCTTCGCTCGGTTGTCCTCCCGTCCCTCCCGCTCCGCCGACAGCATGAGCGTGGTGGAGCACGTGCGCGAGATGGCGGCCGCCGGGCTGCACTCGAACGTGCGGCTGCTCAGCGGGCTGCTCCTCACCATGAGCGGCAACAACCCGTGAGTGCCCCGCCGGCAGGGGGCGCTGAGGGGCTGAGGGGGCGGGAGGGGAGCGGGGGCAATTTGGGGGGTCCCGGTCCTGTCCCCTGTCCCTGTCCTGTCCCTGCACCCTGTCCTGTCCCCTGTCCCTGTCCTGTCCTATCCCTGTCCTGTCCTATCCCTGTCCTGTCCTATCCCTGTCCTGTCCCCTGTCCCTGTCCTGTCCTGTCCCTGCACCCTGTAC